GGAAGGGATTCAGTAAATCAAGTGGTACATACAGATTCCTTTATTGGCCAAGTGTACCTAGACAAGAAGGATCGTTGGTATGTAGACATCTTATTGGATGACAAATTTAAGGTACCTTTTTTTGTGGATACAGGAGCAGATGTTAACTGCTTTCCCTATGAAAAATTACCTCCAGAATATGTGGGTAAAATTGTGGCATGTGATGCAATTGGTGCAGCGGACGATCATAAATTGGACACAGTGGGTAAGCTACATATAAAATTTACTTATGACGGTTTTACAAATGATGAAACAATATATTGTATTAGGAAGTTGAGACAACCTATATTAAGCAGAGAGTCAATCATTAAGTTTAATGTTCTAAATTTTTCTAATTGTAAGCTTAAACAGGTAAATCAAATCAGTTGCAGTGTTGTTCATTGTAATCAATCTGAGAGTACTAATATGTTTTCAAAATTTAATTTAGAGTCTGTTGCTAAAACATTTCCTGGTATTTTTAGTGATATAGGTGAATTTAAAATGGAAATGTCAATTAGAATTAAGCCAGATGCTAAACCTTATGTACAGAGCGTTCCCAGAACTGTTCCTTTACCTCTGTTACCAAAATTAAGAATTGAAATTGATAGATTGCTAAAATTAGGGATAATTGAACCCATTGAAGATCCTACTTCTTGGGTCAGCCCAATTGTTTGTGTGGACAAGGGAGATTGTGTACGGCTTTGTGGTGACTATACTAAACTTAATGAAAACGTGTTACGGTCACATTTTCCTCTCGGGAAAATATCTCATACACTAGCACAGTTGAAAGGGTCTAAATTCTTCTCAAAATTGGATACCACAAGTGGGTTTTACCAAATAAAATTGAATAAGGAAAGTCAGTTGTTAACAACTTTTATAACACCTTTTGGCAGATTTTTCTTTAAAAGGCTTCCATTTGGTATATCTTGTGCCCCAGAGTATTTTACTATGAGATTTTCAAAAATCTTAACTGGCATTGAAGGCTGTGTTGTCCATATAGATGACATTCTTATTCATGCAAGGACAATAGAGGAACATGACAATATTTTGAACACAGTCCTAACAAAACTTCATAAGGAAGGTATTACACTAAATAAAAACAAATGCTCTATAGCAACAAAAACAGCTAAATACTTGGGTCATATGGTCTCTGAGCAAGGGATATTAATTGATCCAGATAGGGTTAAAGCTATCCGTGATTTTCCTGAACCAAAAAATAAGACTGAGCTGTCAAGATGGCTGGGTATGATTAATTTTGCTGCAAAATACATTCATAATAAATCTGAGATTCTTGAACCATTAACACACTTACTAAAAAAAAATATTAACTTTTTGTGGGGTCCAGCACAAGATAAAGCTTTCAGCACTTTAAAACAAAAGTTAGAGAGCCCTCCAAATCTAGCGTTTTTTGATGCTAATAAAACCATAATTGTTAGTGCAGACTCAAGTTGTTTTGGTATAGGTGCATGTCTATTTCAAGAAAATGTAGATCATACTCGGGAAATAGTGGCTTTTACATCTAGGCTTCTGAACTCAGCTGAAACACGATACGCTCAGATTGAGAAAGAAGCTCTTGCACTTACATGGGCAGCAGAATATTTTTATGATTTTATTTCAGGAGTTCCTAACCTAATTTTTGAAACAGACCATAAACCTTTACTACAAATTCTGCAAACTAAAAATTTAGATGAGTTAACGCCACGTTTGCAAAGATTTCGAATGCGTTTAATGCGATACAAGTATACTGTAATCTACACGCCGGGAAAAAATTTAATTGTAGCAGATACTTTAAGTCGGGCCCCTTTACAAACAGATACGTTAGCTAATAAAGAACTAACTGCAGAAACTGCAGCATATGTGCAGTCAATTATTCATAATTTACCAATTAAAGATTATTTTTTGAATTTAATAAAAACAGAACAAGAAAATGAATATATTTGTAAAAAACTAAAAGAATATTCTTTGTCTTCTTGGCCTGAAAGATCTAAATTGCCATTTGAATTGTTGCCATACTATCAATATAGATATGAAATTTCCTATTCGGAACAATTACTTTTAAAAGGGTCTCGCATAATCATTCCTAAGAGTCTTCAACTCAAGGTGTTGGAATTTATTCATACAGGCCATATGGGAATTGTAAAATGTCGAGATCGTGCCAAACAGAGCGTTTGGTGGCTGGGTTTGTCATCCCAGATTAATAACCTTGTCACACATTGTCCCCAATGTGTTGAACACAGAGTAAATCATAGAGAAACATTTCATAAAGACAATACTGTACAAAGGCCGTGGCAAAAACTGGGGGTTGATTTGTTTAAATGTTATGATAAGTGGTATTTGATTGCCACTGACTACTTTTCACATTGGTTTGAAATTTTTACTTTAACCAATATGACAGAAGATGCCATTATTCCTAAGCTTAAAGATATTTTCTCTCGTTATGGTATCCCAGAGGAAGTTAGATCCGACCGTGGTACTCAATTTTCATCAAAATTTATAAAGTTTTCAAAAGAATATAATTTTGTTCATACGACGAGCAGTCCGCACTGGCCTCAGAGCAACGGTGGAGTGGAACGCACTGTACAAATTGCAAAAAGATTAATTCAGAAAAATAAAAAAGAGGACCTAAGTTTGGCATTGTTAGCATATAGATGTACACCCCTAGAATGTGGTGTTTCACCTTCTGAATTATTAATGAATAGAAAATTAAGATCTAACTTACCCCAGCTTCCAAGCTTATTAAACTTTTCAAAAGAACCAAACACTAAAAATAAAAAGAATGAAATAAAGGATAAACAAGTGAAAAACTACAATAAGCGACACAATGCCAAGGATTTAGATCCTCTTAAGGTTGGTGATTCTGTGTGGGTGGTTGATATCAGGAAATATGGGCGAGTTGTTGCGATCTGTCAGGAACCCAGGTCCTATATAATTGAAACTGAAACCGGGAAATTTAGAAGAAATAGATGGCATTTGATTCATGCACCCTACTGTTTCCCTGTATTGAGCACCCAACCAGAATCCTCAAATGATTATGTTCCGCCAATTTCTAGTAACACAAAGCTAATGCCTTGCTCTAATCAAAGCAATGGTGACATACAGGGTAAAATAATGGAGGAAAGTAGTAGGGGGGAACCCAGTGTATTTCAGGACAAAATCGAACAAAGTGGAAATCATGTTTTACCTCCATCGGGTCAGGATAAAAGCGATAGTGTATCGGACTTTGAGTGCGTAAAGCCTAGCAGGCCAAAAAGACTTGTGAAGAAACCGGTTCATTTAACAGATTATGTTTGTAGTAGTTTAAGTTAGTTTAGGTATAAGATCATTAATGACACAGGGATCTTTTATAAAAAAAAGGAGATGTGTTGTTAGCTTAGATTAAGATATAGGCGCCGGAGTTAGGCAACACAGATGACAGGGATGTCATGTGAACGTAGCCGAAGCTCGGGCAAGCATGTATGTTTGAGGGTTGAGAATAAACTGATGTTGTGAAGTAACGATTATTATTTGTAACCCCTCTTTGATAACACGACACTATTCACTTCAAAATACAGATACCGATCTATAATATACAAGGACGAAACCTACATTCATTTTTCCCATACTCATAAAATTGGTAATCTCTGTCTCATAAAGAATGACGTATAGTAAAAAGACTCAATGAATGCTGTAAAGTATCCTAAACATGAATACCTCCATTTAAGGTATTGTAACTCGATGTTGTTCTGATACGAAGTTGGTCCAAGTTCACGAATGCTTACGAAGTGTGGCCGTGAAAGATCGAAAAGAAGGCACCACAATGGAAGATACAACGAAAGGTATAAATTCACTTTCATCAAAAAGAAGCCTGTTTGGTAAATATAAACCTGTTTTTTGAAAGGCTGGTAGTATTTTTAATGGATAACGCTAAGATATACACTTTGCCAAGTATTTCTGCGATATCGTTAGTTGTTATTACCAGATCGTTTTGATAAACAAACTCCAATCGTATCTAGTCTATACTGGGATATATGACTGAGGAGCCTTCTGTCTTCTATGCTTTAATTGACTGGAGTATAAGCTTGAATTAAGTAATGAAATTCATGTACTTATCTTCTCTTCTTTCAGTATACTGTCCGATTATCGGACGTTAGTGATCATATTGGCATTAATAACAACAACCAAGATATTCATCTTCGGCCTGGGCCTCTTCTTTCGACGATCTTGCTCGATATTAGGAGGTATAGAAGTTTATGTCTCTGAATGTCTCATTGCATGACCGAAATATTATAACTTTTGAATTTTTATTGTTTTTGTTATCTCTGTCCTCTTTTCCATTCGGTTAAAAACTATTTCAAACTTATTCATTCAACCCAACTTATTCGCAATATTCGTCGGTAAATCCACTCAAAGGTCTCCAATTTTTTCATTAGTGTTTCTGTAAGAGTTCAGTTCTCCATACCAGTCATTAATGTGGAGAATGTGTAGCAACGTATTGATATGATTTTAAGGTTCAATGTAAGAACTCTATTAATGAGAATTTTCTTTAGTTTATAGAAGCTGCTCTGTCTTTTTCAATGCGTATTCTTATTTATTAGCTCATATCCCAATGATCGTTAACATTGGCGCCCAAATAGGTGATATTGTAGACTCTTTCTAACATTGATGTGCATTAATGATGTTCATTGGCTGTAACTCTGTTTTGCTGACAACCATTAGTTTTAAAAGTATTAAGTTTTATCCCATATTCAATACATGGTTCGGTCACCCTGTCTATAAGTCATTGCAGCTCTTTTTCATTGCAAGCAATCAGTACCGTGTCGTCTGCGCATCTGAAATTATTAACATTTATCCCATTGATCCCATCATCTAAGCCTTCTTTGAAAATAAATTCAGAGTAGAGATTAAAAAGTGGAGACAATAAAATACATCCTTGCTTCACTCCACGTCGTATTTTCACTGCTTTTATGTACCCATACCTCACAAAAATCAACAATAAAACTAACTCATTTTAAAAATGTATATTTCGTAGCAACATTAAAATCACAATTTTAGTATCAAAAACCGTAGAAAAAAAATTCACAAAATTTGGGAGCAGTATACAACAAACAACATCGATTATATTTGTTACAGAAAGCTTTGTCATGTATACGTCAAGTATCGATAAAAATAATGTCTTCATCTGTTCCGTAACTTTTTCGGGCTAAGTCAAAAATATCCATTGGAATTATACAAACACCTAAAACATGTAATAGAGCTTTAATTATGATATAAAGGATTAAAGTCTGCGTCAAGGACATACGTAATTTTCAATATTCGCCAAAACTAACAGAACTGAAATTAAAACAGCTAATAAATTGCGCGTACAATAAATATTTTATCATGTTGTTTATTTATCATTAAATAGCATACCAACATAGTTCTAGTATTAAAATTGTTTGTAAAATGGCCCAAACAATGGATGAGATACTGTCTATAGCAGAGAAAATATCTAACTAATCCCTTCGTGGCACTTGCGGCCTAGTAACATTAAATCTAATGTTAGCCAATTTTTGGAATGCAGATCTTGCTTTCTCTCTATCAGATCTCTATCCTACATTTTATTTCTAGGATATGGTCCCAATTTTCATTGACGTTCGTACCACACTGATTCTTTCAATTTGCTGTTCCTTTGTAGAGATCATCCTACATTTTGTTTTCTTAATGTTGTAACGATGTGCTGAACGTCCTACAGCGTTCAGCAGTTCGAACCGTGGAAGTGTCGATAATCACGCATCCATTTCCACGACAACACAACGAAGTGGGGTCCGGAGCGGCTATTTAAAGCGAGCGGCTGGCGGAATTAAAAAGTCTTGTGGCTAACGCTCTAGGCTCCCTGGCTTACTAGTGTATTGAATCTGCGAGCCAACCTGGACAGAGACCGCAGTGAGGATTATACTCTATCCTTAATCGAGCAGAACCCGTGGGTATCGTGGATTGAACGTTAACGTCAACTTTGACTCAGAGTATAACGTGGATCTGCACAGACGTCCGCCGGGGAATTCACTCTCGCGGGATCCAGGCGGGGATATAGGATATATTTTATTTTTATTTTGTACATAGGTTAGAATTAATAGATTTATTTTTATTTCAACCTGTGTTTTCCTGAGTCTGTCGCTTCGAAAGAGCTACCCGTCACAATGTTCAGTAAAAGTCCATATCTCTGACTCACTTCTGTGATTCTAATTATTAACTCCTGGAGGGCTTCATAACTATCAGCGAATACCACCGTGTCTTGTGTATGTTAAACAGCAAGTTTGACACGTTTGACCCCACGTTTGACAACTATCGATAAGCAACTCAATTTCCATGGTATTAGATACCTTAACTAAATAGTTATCTGACGATCGTTATTCGAAAGAGTATTTGGATGTTAATTACGGAAAATGCATCATAACAGTTCTTTAAACCTGTTAATGATAACATTTCTTCCTCTCCACAAGGAAAATGAATTCCTGTAGCTGGCTGTACACCATGTATCACAAAAATTTTGATTTAAAAAAATCCTTTATAAAAGGTATATTAATATAAAAACCCTACCGGGCTACATCAGAGAACGTTTTCGGAATGACTATTCCATCAACATCGCTTTCTAGGTTTACATTTTTGAAGCCACTAAATATATGGGTAAAAACGCTTTAAATATAGTTCAATTAAATTTAAATTACATTTTTGATGATACAATATTAGGATGTTTAAGTTATGTAACTTACACATCCTTAAACGTTTACTATGGGACGTATACAGAATTTTCTTTTCCTTCTTTCCTTCGGTCTCTGAGAGAGATACAATATCTGGCGCTCCATAGCCATATGAGTCACGTGAATCTTATTAAATTCACCTCAATTGGACCAAAAAAAATATTTTGGACACCTTTTGTTTAAAAGTCCGCCATTTTTTTCTCGTATTTTTTAATAAACGGAGATAAATTCGCAAGTGCAAAACCCTTCTTTTTAAAACACCGTTTGAATTTTTTATTGCAGGCTTGCCAATCCGAAAATTAACTGTCGGTGATAGACGAATAATTTTTTTTGGGTCTTCAACTTGGCGCCATTTATTAACACGTTCACTTCCACTTATATATTCATTTATTTTAGTATGGAGCCAATACGAAAAGATCCCTATTACTTTCCATAGTTTGTGAATCCCAAAAGGCAAATGTGTTAAATGAAAAAGTATGGAAAACTAAAAAAAATTCTTTGTACAATCCAAGAGTTAAAAAAACTTTGATAAGAAAATTCATTTTGTAATATAATAAAGCAATCGAGAAGTTCGTATCAAATTTTTTCTTCAAGTTCATAAATATTTTCGTTTTGCTCATTCTCTGTCTGCAGTATCCTGTAATGTCTCTGTTTTTTATTATAATAGATATTTTCTACATTATTTATTGACTAGAAACAAGAAACTTACGATCACTAAACGATGGGTTCCTATAAAAAAATTTCCTTGTAGGAACATCATAACCGCAAATAACGATGTAATGTCCTTGATAAGTAGCTGGCCAAGGAATACATTTACGAAATTCGCTTGAAATTTTGTTGAGTTTGCAAATATCACAACTCAGAATTCGTGCATTCGTTAGTGCTATCACAGGACCGTTTATTAGGTGAGCTATAATATCTAAAATTGAGACAGACTTTTTTCTTACGAATACTCCAGCGTGTTCTGCTTCTTTAAATCTAGTGTTTATTCTATTTTCATCCTAAAAATAAAATTGAATAAATATACACAATATCGTTGTGACATTTTAAACGTAAGAATATATCCAGGTAAGGACATTGGCTCAGACCTAATCCCATAATTGCAAATTTATTACGACTCAAGAAAATAATAAAGATAAAATCACCAGAATGAAACACTTAAATGGTCTAAAACATGGAAATACAAGGACATATCTCCCCACTGAATCAACAGCAAACTAGATTAAATCAGACGAACTATCAACCAGAAAAAACGGGAAAATCGAATCGACAACCCTCGGAGTAAACTCAGGGATGCTATAATCGCTACACAGCACACCAACATCTGAACACAATGGACAAATCTAAGAGAAATTAATGAAATAGATCCTCGAATTAAGTGATCAACGGAGAACACTAAAAAAGTGAAACCCAAGAAAACACCGCAAAATAATTAACGTCATAAAATATAAAATCAGATAAACCAAAGCGATAAGGATCAATTGAAGCTGCATTGAGATCCAGCAGTTACAAAACCAACAACACCTATTTTACATGACTAAACAAATTGTTGGCGAAATAAATTCTCAATACAATATATTTTAACATATTTTATGTTTTGTGACACAAAGTGTCCTATGTTTGACTTTAAGTTCCAACACATGCGCATTGTTAAAAAAGATTCGTTATAAAATGTTGGGCAGAAAGGATGACTTATTGTTAGTCCAATAAAAAATTGTACTTAGATAGTAGAAAAATATATTAAGTTACATAAAAATATACGTGGCTTTTCCCTTTGGGAATCCAATCAGTTTAGTGTAAGTTGTGCTTGTGAAATAAAGGTTTTATTGTAAAAAGTTGCCTAAATTGTCCCTGGCATTCTCATCAGCGAAGTTTCTTTTATGTTGTAAAAATCCAACACAAAGAAAAGCAGTTACGACAGTTAGTAACTAATCTAGCAAAAGCTCAAGAATTATGGATCAAATATATTGAGAAACTATATAATGACAGTAACACGACCTAGCGAATAGCAAGAGAACGTGGACCACCTACAAGAAAAAACGAAATTGTTAAGGTCGTAACAGAAATCAAAACGTCCAAAGCAGCAGGCCAGACGGATTATACTCAGAAATTTTAAAATGTAAAGATTTTGTGAAGATATCAGTATATGTTTGTCTCATAAATTTTACTGGTAATAAAGCTTTTGACTATGTTAAAAACTCTTGAGTTGCTGGAACCTCTAGATGTAAGTAAAAGGATTAGACAACAACGACATCTATACTTTCTTTAACCTATATAGGCAGCAAGTGGCTTCAGTAACACTTGATAACGGCCTAATCACAACGCCTCATAACCTTGGAGTAAGACAAGAATATGTCCTATCTCCCATTCTGTCAACGGAAAAAAAAATATTGGTAATCCACTATCGAATATAAGATGACACTGACGACATAGTGGTATTACCAGATATCGCAGACTTCTACTGAACAGACTAACCAGAGAAGAGGACGGTCTCGGACTAGAAATTAACAATACTAAAACCAAGATCATGATCATATGCCGAAAACACCAACTTGTAGACAAACATAAGATTATCTACTAGAATTCAATAGAATTAGTGACAAACCGGACATAGATTGTCGAAATTGCAGCCAACCTTCAATGATGGAGATGGTGGTTGAAGAAGAACATGAAAAATAAACAAAAACACTTTGAACGTAGGTGCAAAATTTCGGGCCAATGCTTTTTAAATGCATTCATTTTGTTCGAAACCTAAGAAAACTAATAAATATTTTTGAAAAATTTAAACGCAGAATGAAAGATTACATTATTACCAGTTAAAAAAGTGTTACCAACTTACATTTCCACACCTCTAAAAAACACTCGTTATATAGGCTGATTCAGAAAAATGGTTTGCATAACTGAATGGATTCGATTGAAGAATGAAAAAAATTTCAATAACTAAATAATTATATATTACTTAAAACATATTCGTGGCCTTCAAAATTCAAAATATACTCCTTCTCATATTTAAACTGATTCGTCATCAAAGCATGCTTGAAACTCTAGAAGTCTCTGTGATTTTTCCCTCCATAGGATACTTCAGCCACAGGATACATCTTGATTCATCAATAAACTGACACTCTTCTAATTTTAAAAATTTTAGACACTGTATTCTATAATAATTCACAAAGAAATCTGTTGTATGCTGCTGCGCAGCGAAGGATGTGTGGTATTCTATAATATACTGAGAGTTCAGATCTTCTATTAACAGTATGCAACATTCGTCTGGTATTCTGATCACTAATAATTACTTTTCTAGTAGCTTATCTGAAACAGTTCTATATTCTTGAAGGTCATGTGGTGTTTGTATTTTCTGACATGATTATAAATCGACCTTCAACAAGAATTATAAGCTTTAAACATGGCAGCATTATTGCTGATCGCAAGAAGGGTTTCTTAAATCTAGGAACTACCTGCTGCTCAAAAAGACTTTCAGCAAATGTTAAAAATCACACTTGTTTCATTTACTAATACGAGGAAATTAACAACTTAACCATCAACCGTGAGCGGAATAACACTATCATTCTCTGAAAAGGTTAATTATATCACCACTAAAGCAACAAAGACTGCACCGAAGGATTTATGACAAAATATGGGGTCTGAAACTTAAAATTACTTATTACTTATACATAACAGATATTAGGCCCATAATTAATTATGCTACGCTGGATTGGTGGAACAAAACAACGCAGCTAAGGCAATATCATACTTTAAAACAACCTCACACTAAAATTCGTTATAAACAATGAACGAGTTGAGTTAAAAAAATCGTTCGTATCACAAAAGTGAATATGAATTATTGGTCCTAACATGAGTAGATATTGCAGTGATACCAGAGCGTATATGAGAAGATAAGAAGGTTACGTTGAGCCAAGAACGAAGCGATAGTATGAAAATACTTGTAGTCTCCAAACTGGCGTCTTTGTTATACGTTTTCTGTGGTCTATGAGGACTGCATTGTTATTGGCAGTCTTTTTTCACTTTTCGTCAGAATCAACAGACTTAAGGCAATATTTATAGATAGATAAAGTAGTAGTAATTGGGAAAATTGGTAAAAATATCATTTAATCGTGAATTTATACAAACCTTGCTTAAAATACTAGTATAAAAGCTATTTCCCCTGTATCCTTCATGAACACCTAACGTTACTGTATAAAAAATATGTGGCACATCGAATCTTTTAAGTAGGTAACAGAGATCTATGGTCCAGGTACTGTAACATATAAGTACATTATTAATATGCAGACAATATTAATCTAGATAAAATAGCAGCAAATCTGATAATGACATTTTCTATTCCTCTCTTCAAAGGTCACTAGCAGGTTCTTGGTGTTTTCACGGAAATATCCAAAAAGATACGTCATATAAAAATTGCAGCTTATTACTTTAATAAAAGTATAAAATCACATGTAAAGTATGTACGAATATACTTTAGACATCGAATCTAGTCATTACATGATTTATTAGGTATTTTTGAAAGTGGGAGTTAATCAAACTCAAGCCATATCCCTGGAATTATTTCAGTTTCGTAAATCTAGTTACGATGTTTGCTAGCTCTGAGATATTCAGGACATTTAAAACTTTGAGCCAGTCGGATAGCATTTGGTAAGGAGTGGCGCACCCATGGTGGAGGCTTTTGGAAGCTTTCTATCTTTGTAAATGGGTATATTTAAAAACCCTTAAAAGGGGTACATCAATTACACGAACGTTTTCGGAATAAAAATTCCATCATCAAGTTTAAAATGCAAATTGACATGCCTAAGCCACCAAAATATCAGGGTAAAAACCCTTTAAATTACATATGTTTGCTAAAGATTGTACATAATGTTGTTAATCACATTTCATGTTTGATATTAAATTAAATTTGACTTCAGGTAACATACACCCATGTTTTAGGTGAGTTCCACTGGCCGGAGTGTAAACCTCTTCAAACGGGCTCCAGCTGGTAACTGTTACTATAGTTTTTAATTTAAAAATAGCACAAGTTTACTCTTCGAACAACTGTACACTAGTGAAAGGTTTTTGAAAAACAGAATAGCCATATTCCAAGGAAAATAAGGTACAAACAACACGTGCATTATCCGAAGTTGTAAAACTGATATCAATTCTGCAAACTTATTACCCTTAATCGTCGGCTTACAAGCGAAACACACTAAGTCAATTTTTTTCACTTTTGAGTTATTTGCAGCATTTTATTGTATTTTTTTTACTCTTTAGACTGGTTAAACTCACTAAGTCATACAATAACAAAAACGGTTATTTTTATAATTATCATGTTTCTCACTAAGTCTCAAAAACTATATATGATTCAGGCAAAACACACTAAGTGACTTAATGTATTTCACTTGACTACGAATGAACCTACCAACTGACTTACGCAGAGCAACTTGTCCAATCTTGTAAAAAATTAATTATTTGTTTGGGTATATTGCATAGGTTTTGTCAGTTTTGTTCCAGTGTTTTGCGTGATTAGTTCGTTAACAGTTTTGAATTTTGCGTGTATTTATTAATTAATTTCTGTAAGAAAAATAAAATTTTCTGTCGAACTACCTACAGCGATAAACAAAGACGTGAGCCTAAATTCTGATAATTTTTGTCAAGATATTCAGTCAGGTCCTCCTCAAATAAGTGACCAGGATTCTGATGAATGTATGGAGGATAGCGACTATATTCCTTCAGGTAATGAAAGTGATAATTTAGATACCAGCGAAGGAAACTCTACAGCAGCCGAGGAAACAATCTGAAATAGTCAAGTAGCCTAAGAAGCGATGACACCCCAAGACTATCTGTGTGGAAAAGAAATGTTGAAAAAAGCAAACGAGTTGAAGGAAAACCCTACAAAAGTACCACTGGTAGAATGCAAGCTCCTAAAATTCCAAAAGCGGTTGATTGCTCTAGATGTCGATTTAAGTGCCAAAATAACTTTTCTGAAGAGAACCGGAAGTTGCTATGTCAAACTTATGCGATGTTGTCATTTCAAAGACAGAAAGATTTTATATTATTGAATGTGCTTTCTAATGAAGTAAAGAGTCGCAGGCCTAGAAAAGGAGAAAATAGCAAAATGCGATCCAACGCAAAATCCTATTTTTTCACAAATATGGGAAAGAAAAGTCAAGTGTGTCAGAAATTTTTTTGTAAAACATTGTCTATTTCTAATATGCCTATAATTAATGTCTTTAAAGAGCAAAATAAAAGCGGCGAATATAGTGGAATAGACAGAAGGGGCCGTAGGATTCCTGGCAATAAAACTTCAGTGGAAACAAGAATAAGAGCAAAAAAACACATTGAAAGCTTTCCTGTTGTAGAAAGTCACTACACTAGAAAATCTTCGAAAAGACTTTATTTAGATTGCAATCTTAATATTAAAAAAATGCACGACCTGTTCGTTAAAAAGTGTAAAGAGGACAATTTGCTAAGCTTAAGTCAGATAACTTATAGGCGAATCTTTTGCAAGGAATTTAATATATCATTTTTCAAACCTAAGAAAGACCAATGTTTGACCTGTAAGGAATACACAAAAGCATCGCAACAAGAAAAAGAAGCGATGGAGCTTAATTTTAGGAGTCATTTAGACAGAAAAGAGGCTGCAATGAAAGAAAAAAATTCAGACAAAGAAGTATCGAAAAAGAATAAAAAATTTAAATCAATTACATGTGATATGCAAAGCGTTTTACAAATTCCATCATGGCAAGTAAGTCTCTTGTATTATCTTAGAAAGCTGAACCTCTATAATTTTACAATTTAGGAATCTGCTTCACCAAATGAGGCATTCTGTTATTTTTGGACTGAAGACAATGGTAAGAGTGGAAGCTGTGAAATTGGTACTTGCCTAGGAATGTACATTAATTCATTATCTGATATAGAACATCTAACGATTTTTTCAGATACGTGTGGAGGACAGAACAGAAATATTCAAGTATCTGCTCTGCTTTTACATATTGTTAAAAACCATCCGAGTCTTCGGATAATTGAGCAAAAGTTCATGGAAAGTGGACACTCCTATATGGAAGTAGATTCCATGCATAGCGCTATTGAAAGTGCCAAAAAAAATGTGGAGATTTTTAGTGTTCACGAATATGAAAATGTCTTTAAAATGGCCAGAATGGGCAACAATGGGAATAAAAAATCTTCCTATAATACTCGTGAAGTTAATTATAACGAATTCTTAGATTTGAAAAAACTTGCACAATATACTATTGTTAATAAGAAAGAGGATCAAAAAGGGCAAACGGTCAACTGGTTAAAGGTAAAGTGTTTTAAGTATGAGAAACAGTTTCCTAACATTCTACAGTACAAGTATAATTTTCACGACGAATATGAAAATATTAACGTTAGTTTTGTACGTCGTGTTTCTAACAGAACAGTCAAAGAGGATAATAATAATGAAAATTTGGTTATTCCTCAATTATATTCTAAACAGCTTCCAATTTCGGATGCAAAGAAAAAAGATTTGATAAAGCTCTGTGAAAAAAATATAGTTCCGCAAGCGCTCCATACCTGGTTCAAAAATCTACCAAGTTCTTCTTCTGTTCGAGACCAAACAGCGGAGTCAGCTGAAAAGGACTCTGACGAAGAAGACTTTGAAAATTAGAAGCATATTTTTTTTTGTTATACACGTTTTGTTTTGTTATACCTGTTTTTTTTAATAATGTTCTTGTTTTGTGAAAATATACATGAAAAAAGTAAAAACTTATATAAGCAAAAGTTATTGTATTATTTACAATGTAAACGAAGCCTGCAATAATCGTATGACAGTAAGTAAATAAAAAAAATACACGTAAGTCATACTTTCATAGCAAAATTATACAAGTAAAACACACTAATTTAAATGCTACATGTAAAAAACATTAAGTCAACGTATTCAAATCGAAAATTAAACAAAAATTAATAATTTGGTAATATATAATTTACTTCTCCTCGTCAGTAATCATTATTAATACTTTATGAAAACTTTCGTATAATTACAAAACAACAAATAAAAGTTTTAAATGTGAAAATTGATCAAACTGTTTTTAAAAAAATTTAAAACACGATTATCTCAAAACTATATTTTTTGACTTAGTGTGTTTCGCTTGTAAGCCGAAGAATTGACCTGTCGGTGCCTAAAAGACGCTAAAAGTGTTTCTGCATTGTGGGAATTTAGTTACAATAGAATAAATTGTATAAACTTACAGTTATTAAAAAATTCTTATGAAATTCTGGGTGGCCTTTTTTCTTGACGCGCAGTGTATCTCACACGATACCACTTTCTACTTAAAATTTTAGAGAAAAAGGTCACCCACGCATTGGGGGTTCAAATTTGAGAATGATTATGTTTAATAAAGTCCCCCTAAAAATAAAAATTAACGAGGTCTACGGGAACTTTAATCTATAACGAAATTTATTTTTATTTAAAATGCTTAAATACTGTTTAAATTATTTTTAAGGCCTATTAATATATCATAATAAGTTATTTTTTAGATGAGAATGGATTAATCTTTTTTTACTTTGCCTCTTATCAGAAAAGTCCAAATACCTATCGATTAAGATCTCACTAAGATTAATATCATGTCTCTATCATCCGAAAGCCATGAGACTACGTTGCCGTTAGCCTTTTGCTGACATGACTCATGCACATGAGAATGACCATAAATTCCCTAGCTTTTCGGGTACAAGAATAAACCAGCATCAAACAAAACAACCTTATTCATCCGAAAACGATATAAAAGTAGTCACCAAACGAATTTCTGAATGTCAAGCGACCACTTTATCAATCTGCAAGGTCGTAGATTCCACAGTACATATTTAGAAACACAAAATTAAATATTTTCATCGCTATACAGAATTAAAAATATTCATTATCCCTAGTTCTTTGCTGCGCTTACAGAGAAAGAAATCATGAAGAACTATTATTAAGTAAAAAGTAAAAACAACTATTTCTTACCTTTTGTTAAATCCTTCATTTTTGCAAATTTGCGAAAAGTTTTCCAACAACTCTTCTCTCTTCTTCTTCGGCAGTACCATCAAAACACAAGACACACCACAGTCCCAATTCCATTTTTGCTTATAATGTGTTAACTGGATGTGTAGTTTTTCCGGCTGTTCTATAAAAAATAAATGCTTTTACATTAAATGTCAACAGGTTAATGTCTTTCTTATCTTATTAAATAACAGCAAACCGTTCTGCTGACTGTTAAAAATAACATACCAGGTTCAAGAATTATTGCGTTCCGTTTCTTCCACATGTTTATTGTTTAGTTGATTAGTTTTGTTGCAAAGTATACATGCAGAGTAGATTTATTACATTATTCGCTAAATTTGGGTTATATTGATAAAGCACAACCACGCGCCTAACATTGATAAGAAACTAAGAATGAAAAACACGGCTATATTTACACGCAGATAAATATCAATTCCAACTATATCGTGAGATAGATACATTATTTATGTTCTCGTCATTTTATCACTTCGAATTTTATGCTGGTATAAGTAATTATTTTTTAGATGCCTTTACCTTACCAGTGCAAGTTAATGTACAGGGTGATAAGAAAAATGATAAAAAATGAAGTAATGCATTTTTTTGTTCTTAAATCTAGTATAGTTTTACATTATTGTAGAGAAGTATATGAAAAGTAATTGGAAAATACGGGACAAGCAGATTTATTGGAAAATAAATGTGACGAGGAAAATAAAGATCTAAACATCTTTGCTGCGCTTATAGAGAGAAAGAGATAAAATTTATTGGAAAATAAAGAACACCCCAAAGAACTCTAAAATGAGATATTAGAAAATTGAAAGAAGCTGATATAAAAAACAAACTCCAATAGAAAATATACGAAAACTTTGATAAATTAGATACTAACACCTACGAGATAAACCAACAATGGGAAATATTAAAAACTGCCTCCTCGTTCCAAGATATAGTCAAAGAATCGATAAGAAAGAGAGATTCATTAACAATGATTCATTAACAATGAATCAGAAAACTGATAAGAGAGGCAAAACAAACTTATTCAGAACAAATACGACATATTCAACCTACATAAAAAGGTTAAAGAAATGGCAGGACAGCAAAAAAAAACCATAACACAACTCTTTTAGATAAAAATGAAAATACTATGATAACGACTGACGAAAAGCTAAAACGATGGAAAGAAAATAATATGGAAGAGCTCTTCGATGACGAAAGGGGAAAACCTATAAGAAATATTATCTTTCGAGGAAAGAGAAACAAGTATATAAATTACAAAGGAAGAAATATTGCACACACTAAAGAACAACAGAAACAGAAAAATCCTGGGGCCAGATCAACTGCCTATTGATATCCTTAAAATAATAGAAAATGAGTACACGGATGCCCTCTTAAAGCTCTTTAATGAAATTTATCAGTCGGGTGACATACCCAAAGAATGGTTGACCTCAACATTTATTTGTCTCCCAAAAAAGAAAAATGCTAGACAATGCACCGACCACCGCACAATAAGCCTGATGTCTCACACACTTAAAAATGTTTTTAAAGATCATCCATAAACGAATTTACCAAAAACTTAATATGGATATTGAAAAAACCCAATTTGGATTCCGTAGAGGCATAGATACCAACGTACTAATCACCAAGATATGCACGTCTGTTTCATAGATTACAACAAGGCTTTCGATAAAGTCCACCAAAAAGAGCTAATGGACGTCCTCAAAGCAAAACAATAATTACAATACAATGATTTTCGAATTATAACAAATCTATATTATAAACCTGCAATACCTGGGGCATGTTATGCGTAATGAAAGATACAACATACTTCAATTAATTATAAAAGGGAAAATCCAGGGCAAGAGAATGTAGGAAGGAGAAGAATCTCAATGTTGCGTAACTATACAAACCTAGAGCCCAGATTAATAGTATTACAAGAATTAATATTAAACTTAACGGTCTTACGGGTTGAACCACGTCGATTATCATTGCGCCGAGCTTTCGACATCCTTTTTGATATCTTCTTCAGGGCTTCCGAGGTCTCAGTCTCCCGAGCCCCCAGATACTACTACACTGATCACTAACCAATGCATTACTGCTACTGGGAACAGAGAACGGTTTATTTATACCGTAGATGGTGACGTGGTTTAGATGAAGGTTGGCGTGGGGGTTAGCGTGGTGATTGGCGCGGGCGTTGGCGCGAACATTTCTGACAGTAGGATTTTGATTGGCGGGTGGACAGGACGATATTTTTTTTATGAGATGTCTCCATGTCGAAGGTAACCGTATGCCGTCATCTCTTTTATTGAGATAATTTGGCCTTTTTTTAAATTTCTATGGCTTTTTCGATTGCAATTACAACATATTTAGAACAAAATTACAAACACTAGTAATAGAGTAATGACAAACTTTAAATAGTTACAAACAAGTGTATTAATATAATCAATTGACTCTGAAGTTGCAAACAGGAAGTCTTTAGAGCTACCATTGTAGGATCTTGAGGGACACTCTTCAATAATGTGGTCGATGGTTTGGTTCTCCCCACAGTCACATTGAGGAGACGGGTTCTTTCCCCATTTATGTAGCATGTATGCACATCTGCCATGTCTGGTTCGGATCCTATTCAGAGTGGACCATGTTTTGCGTAGAAGATCAAAACCTGGTGGCTTGTGGGTAATGCAGGGCATGTTATTTTGCCATGCGTTCTATTCTTGGAACCATGCATTCGTGGTGTTGAACTCCTCATGTATCATTTTTGCCGTTTTCATTGGTGGTTTTCTAGAACGGAGGCGGGTATTTCGTGCATCCTCGGTGTCTTGGTGGATCGGCAGGTTTATATTGTTCATGATCTTTTTGTATTCACGTGTAAGTGCGTCAACTCGTCGTAAATGTGGAGGTGGGATGTGACTTAATACTGGAAGCCATTGGGTGGGAATTGATTTAATTGTACCAGCTATCATCCTCTTGGTGCTGTGCAGCTGAGTGTCGACTTTTTTTACGTGTGGACTGTGTAGCCAAACTGGAGCACAATATTCAGCGATTGAGAAAACAAGGGCTAAGGCAGTAGAGCGGAGAGTGGAAGCCGATGCTTCCCAGGTGGTACCGCAGAGCTTCTGTTAATTTTGGCAGTGACACCTTTGATGTAAGGTAAGCTGAGGGTCTGGATATTTGGGTTGAGACTGAGTGGGAGATTGATGTCTGTGGATGCTCCAATTGATGTGTTTTTTGCGGTAACTAGAGAGCTCAGCGGGTCTACTTGGATCATCGCAAAGGCGTATTGATCTGGAGACAAGGGTATTAATGACTGAATTAATTTGTGGATGATGAGTGTTGACATGCAAATAACGATTGGTATGGGTGGGCTTTCGATAAACAGAGTGGTGAAAACCTAGGGATTGAATTGGATATAATAACGTCGAGAAACGGTAGGGATGAATCAGTTTCCACCTCCATCGTGAACTGGATACTAGGATGTATACCATTCAGACAGGTTTGAAAAGACACCAAAGCATCCCTGTCATGGGCCAAATGACGAATGTATCGTCAACATATCGTAGCCAACATGTGGGTTTGAGCATTGATGTGGATAGTGCTCGGGTCTCGAAGTCTTCCATAAAGATATTGGCAATTACTGGAGATAGTGGGAGCCCATTGGGCAGCATTTATTTGTCTGTAGAATAGTATTTGTCGTGCTGGATACTGCATTTAGTTTTCAGAATATTTAGAGTTTCGTCTATGGAATTTTTGTAAAGAGTGAAACGATATCGAAACTTACTAGAATGTCTGAAGGTTATTGTTTAAGAAGTTCGACGAAATGAAAAGAACTTTTGACGAAGGATGAAGCATTTTCGGCGAAAGGTCGTAGAGTTTTGGCCAAGTACTTGGCCAATGATTGTGTAGGGCAGTTGTATGCACTCACAATGAAACGTAGAGGAATATCGGGTTTGTGAATTTTGGGTAGGCCATATATTCGAGGTTTTCTGGAAGACATTTCACGAGGAATTAGAGATTGTTTTATGTCAACAGGAAGAGAGGTTTTATTGATAATGGCTTTTGTTTTCTACAGATAGGTTGTTGGATTATTAGGAATTGGTCTGTAGTCTGGAGTATTAATGATATTTGGGAGTTTATTAATGTCAGAAGAAGTGTTTAGAATGACGGTGGCATTGCCTTTATCGGCGAGAAGAATGACTAGATTTGGATTTGACTGAAGTTCTTTCAGGGCTTTTTTCTCGGATTGGCTAATATTCGGAGTAGGAGGCTTTGAGTTTCTAAGAAATCTAGCGATGTCTTATCTAGTTATTTCAGCATATTCGGAAGGTAAACTGGAGATGGCTTCTTCAGTTTGACAGACGATTATCTCAATCGGAATGTGACTTAAGTAACAGAGTCATTGAAACCGTTTGCAAAAACTTGAGTGGCAATGGTCGAAATAGGGGTATCAGAAAAGTTTTTCTTTTTTTGAACATTAAAAATAACCGGTCGCTTCAAGCGTTATTTCTGGAAGAACAGTTAATTCTACAGAAAAATGTCATTTCTTATTTAAAACATTTTTTACGGCGTACAGATTCTTGATAAATTGATATTTTCCGTTTTCCTCCTACGAGGTACCTAAGGTTTTATGGAGAAGCAAGGTGGTAGAAAAACTTTTTTGGGGTCTCAACATTTATATTCTTAGCAAAACTGAGCTTGTTCGTCTAGTTTTTAGCGATCAAATTTCTAACAACTGAATGAAACATTTACATTTAAGGCCTAATATTATTTCGCGTTTGATACCTGTTGCGCCATCTAACAGTGTTTCGTTCAAACTGTACCTAAAACAATGACGATGTTTTGCCGGCAAAGAAGGGATTTTTGAAAATGTCATATTTTTTTGGAGTTGATGTATTAGTGCAGGATTTTTAAAGGTATGTAGAAGTATGTAATTAAGTTTATTTAGCTGCATAATTGGTACTCATTTGTTAAATTTTTAACGTAGTTTAAGACTATATAGAAAGTTTTTGTTCTAATTTAAGTGATTAATTATTATTAGTCGATCAGTATAAATATGTATTTTGGGGTTATAATAGCCACGCGCCTGGAGGTAATGCTTGCCGGCCACCATTACCCTCAAATTGTATTTATATAATACAGATTATTTCTTTGTAAATTCTTATATTCAGATGCCCCGAGTTTACAAGAGAAAAAGTGACAAATCACGATGGAATGCTGAGCAACTTAGTGCAGCAATAAATGCAGTAAATAATGGCAGAAGCGTACGTGAAGTTGCAAGAAGTTTTGAAATTGCCAGATCTACAATTCAACTACGACTAAAGCGAAATGATACAACAGCTGCTTCTTTAGATCGTAATACTGTATTTACCAAAGAAGAAGAAGTTTTGACAAAGCAGGTCATAAAGTTATCAAAACATTTTTATGGGATAACTCCCAGAGAAATAAAAAAATGTGCCTATAAATACGCTGAAGAAAAAAATTTACATCATAAATTTTATAAAGAAAAAGAAATGGCTGGAAGAGACTGGCTTGCTGAAAAGGGACAAAAGAGGCTTTATTACAAGCGCAGAAAGAAGTCAAACAACAACCATTATGTGCTGCATAGGTGCCTCAACAACATATATTCCACCTTTGTTTATTTATGCCCGCAAAAGGATGAAACCAGAGTTAAAGAAAAATTGACCACCTGGTGCAGTCTACTGCTGCTCGGATAATGGGTGGATAAATGAGCAAATATTTCTCGAATGGCTCCAGCATTTTTACAGTGTTGTAAAACCTTCAAAGGAGGATCCAGTTTTGTTAATCATCGACAATCACAGTAGCTACTGTACATTAGAGACATATAATTTCTGAAAAGAACGAGGAATTATTAGGTTAACCATACCCCTGCATACATCGCATCGACTCCAACCGCTGGATGTAGCTTTTTAGTCATCGTTAAAACCAGCGTATAACATTGAATATGGCAATTATCTTCGAAGTCATCCTATGAGCGTATCACGACATTTGAAATAGCTGAAATATTTAAAAATCCATACGGTGGCGTAGCCACACCAGTCAAAGTCATTAAAGGTTTTGAGAATACAGGAATATTTTCATATAATTATGAAAATTTTACCGATGAAGACTTTGCTCCAGGTGAATCATTCATACAAGAAATAAATAAAAAGACACTAGACCAAGAGAAAAACAAATGGATTGGATAAAGAGAAGAATAATAAGAAAGTTAAGGGGAATAAATAAAGTTCGACACATGATAAAAATTTTAAATATCTTGTATTGACATAATTCTACTACCAGAATGTTCAAAAGATGACTCAGTAGGAAATAAATGATCCAACCACAAAAGCAACAGGAAGCAACATTCCGAAATAATGACATCAACACCAATGAAGTTACTTCTAGCGTTTTCTAGAAGAAAAACAGCGGAAGAAGGAAGCAGCAAATGAGAAATAAAGCCAGTAAAGAAACCAAACAAAAAATAGACATCTCGAAGAGTCCCGTTCTCCGCGAATAGTTCCAAAAAGAAATGGTAAAAGAACAGAAGATATATCATCTGAAGATAAGGATGATGACGATGACCGTGATAGGGTCGTTAACAAAGATATTTACACAATTTGTGGCGAATTCGGTAAAAACTGAGAACTCTGGATCCAATGCAGCATTTTCGGCTAATGTGCACACAAAGACTGTACCAGTTTCGAAGGCAAAATTTACATTTGTGATTTCTGTATTTAATTATTTTTTAAATGGTGGTAATAGTGGCAGTGGCCACTATCACCCCTCGGCAGCGGGTAAATATGGCCACCAGCAAAAGTCTGAAAAACCGTTTTTATTTTTTTTGTTCTGTTTAAAAAGATTTCGTAAATAGAGTTTGAAGTACTAAGGTTTGAAGTTTTAAATAATTGATGGATTCGACCGTAACTTGATGGCAATTCATTTTATGTAACAATAAAACACTGAAAATTTGTTTTCAAATTTCCACAAAATTTATTTTAACTTATCACTACAGCTTTTTCGGCTGATTGCCTTTCTCAAGTGATCTACTGATGAGATGAGAGCTCAAGTGATCTGATTCAATAATAGAAAAACAGATTCTACATACGCACTTCACCTTCTAGATAACAATCATTCTTTTAATGACAAATTTAAAATTCTTCACATTCAAATTAAAGGCCTTAAGCTATCTTTGTTAGAATCTATGGAAATCAACAAATTAAAAAACTCAGATATAATTCTGAGTGACCAACTTGAGACAAACAGTTCTCCCCTCCTCAACCTATTCCATTAGAGACTATAAAAAATGTAAACGCATCCCAAAAATAGATCACTTGAGAAAGGCAATCAGCCAAAACACTGTAGTGATAAGTTAAAATAAATTTTGTGGAAGTTTGAAAACAAAGTTTTCAGTGTTTTATTGTTTGAAGTTTTATTTACGCAAATAAAATAAAGAGGAATTTGAGAAAACACGCAAGTAATTTTAATAAAAAAAATTATCTTCAAATTTATACACTCCTATTTATTGACTAATTTTATTAGATAACTATATTTCCTCTACTTGTATATTCCATTTCATGTAGATTCTTATCAATTCAATAAAAATCGTCTGCAACTTTTGTTGTTTAACTCAATATAGGTATGTTAATTAAGATAATTTGTTATTTTCACCTTGTGCTAACCTTAACCAATCAATTTTGTAACGCTATGATTGTAGTTTTAGGAATTCACATAATTTTATATTTATTTTATATCCACATGTCATAAAATTGGTCTGTTATAATGTATAAACTCCTGTTTAATGGGAGCATTTAATCGCCGCGTCACCAAAAACTGACAAATAAAATTATGTCAAAAACAATCTATTGCATTTATGACTCCACTGTACCATCTACATCAAAGTTTGAAGAAATTACAGAAAAATATTTTTGTTATATTCTTCATCCAATGGTGCTAAGACCAAATTCTAGTATCTCACTATGTGACAAGATCATCGAAATCTGTGGAAAAAAGCAAATGGATAGGACTTTCTTGGAACAGTCAATAAAGTTCGTGGATATATCTGAATCTCCATGACCCATTTTCACTAATCAATCCACATCCTCAGATCTGTTGGTTCGTGCTGGTTGGATTATGCGTATATTATGCGTATATTATTCAAAAACTAAAGGAGTGAGACAAGGCTACAGCCTTTCTCCCAACCCTCTTCAAGATATACATTGACGATATCCTTTAAAGCTGGAGATTAGCAGCGACATACTCAGCTTCATATATCTATGTGGTACTCACTAAAATATAATTTGCAGATGACAAAATAATACTTTGATAAAGCAGATGTGTACGCAAGATAATATCAAAATTTCCATAAAAAAAGACAAAAGTTACCATATAAAATCAAATCTCACTACGAAATGGAGGCATGTCGTTAGTGTCCATGCCACTAACTGAACTGTGGCAACTATAATTCGGCTCAAGGCTTTCCACGTGTGGTATTTAGGAGTATTCCAAGCATGTCCTCGGTTACCAATGGCTTGGGAAAAATGAGGAAGGAATGTGACATTCTGATGACAATCAAAACTCAAAAGTTAAAATATCTGGTTGGGTTCAAATTTACTGACTGAAAAATTTACGAATAGGCACCATATGAAGAAGATCCCTTCGGTCGAAAATAATAGGAAATGAATACATCCGCAATTAAAATATAAAAGAAAAGAGGTAAATATGGGAAGATCACGAAGATTAGTCAGAATACCTTTGTGTAGATAGAGCAGTAAGAGCCTAATCCATGTAATGAAGAAGACGATACATATAAAGTTTTCGCTTTAAAAAATTAAAATGTAGTAAAAGCCTTTCAGTGACTAGCATCGTAATATTAGTCATATTCGTTCTACTGTCAGATGTCAAAATGATTTCAAATTGTTAAAAAATAACTTTAAATTTTTTATCTTGGAATTTGGAATAAATTAAATTTTGTATTTCGAATACCACCAAGGTGAAAAAAAAGCTTTGAAATAAGTAAGATACAGCGATTAGACATACATATTCCGAAGCCAATGATGTTAAAAAAATAATCAAATTTCAAAAATTTTTCATGCGTGATATGGATAAATATTTCATGTACGAAATCTATAATTTTTCCATTTCTTGCGTTTTCTCAATCGCTATGCAGTTTCAAGCGAGTAAATAATAAATATGTTAATAATTCGAATTCAAAATATCTGAAACATTTTATTCTTATCTGCTGATTGACTGATTATCAGCGTCAATAAAATTAAAGCTAATAAGTAAACAACCCATTGTAAACAAATATTTTACTAGGGTTGTAAATAATGAATAAACAATCAAATTTGATAAAAATATTTACCATCGTAATACCATGTGATAAAAAATCGATAAATCTCTAATCAAAGAAGGAATTTTTTTAATCTTACCATGGTTAAGGACGTTCACACATACTTCCATTATTATTTCACATATCAAAACACCCTATTCCTATAAATACTCCTATTCATATTAATGTTGTTGAATTAAACTCAATTATACTGCGAAATACCTCCATACGATGTGGTTTATCACATTTTGACCATGGAAATCTTATAAAAGTGGATACCTTTAAGGTTAACGTCTGACCTTGTATTTTTACATTTTTCGAACTTGTTTATTTTAGTTTTAGTCGCACAATAGGAACACAATCTCAACAATGTTAATGGAATTTGTTATCAGTTTTTCTGTTATCTGTTACCACGGGATCTTTGAACTCCATGGTAGATGGTAGAGGACGATTAAAGTTAGGTTATAAAATCTGGGAGTTGGGAAGCTAACGCTAATGTACGCAAAAAGCACGATTAGTGAGACGTTAGAAAGCAGAGAAGTGATACATAATGTGTATTTTGTTTATAAATGTGGATCCTAATCCTGAAAAAGGTGGTTATAGGTTAATAGTGGCCACAAATAGAGATGAATATTATAAAAGGCCAGCAATGCCAGCTCTTATCGATAAAAATGGAATTATTGGAGGTAATTAACAATTAATTAGAATTGGTTGTATGAATAAAAGTTCTATGATTAACAGAAGAGAAAGTATATGATTGAAATTTTGGAAAGCTTGTAAATCTCTTGTTACATTGACTAGGTATGACTTCTTAAAAATTGATTTTTTTAAATCTGGTTTTTATGTGGGTTTCAGATTTGTTTTGACTAATTTTCTTTGAGGTTTTCTTTGTTTTGTTGTTGTTGTTTTTGCTTGAGTTACTATTTCATCACTGCATGTTACAAAAAGATTGAACATATTAATTGTAGACTTTTCTTTTTTATTTGATGATGGTACATAATTTTCCAAAGTTAATTTGTTTTTAATCTATTCAGTGTGTGTTCTGTTAAAATTCTCTTGCCTGTTGTTGATACCATACCTCAAACCATCATTTTTTATCTTAATAACTTTAATGCTGTTTATTGTGCCAGATAAAATTAGTTTCTAATCAAATTTTCTGTAGACATATTCAAGTCCATTGTTACTCTTTACTAATCTGACTAATTTCTAAATTACCTTTTCCATGCTTTAAACATTGGTATTGTTCCAAAATACTCACAAAAGGTTGTATGTTTACTTATAATGTACAATTGCTGTAAAGATTTCTGGACCTAGATCAATTCCTAGACAATGAACAAGAGAGGATAGTACAAAAACTACAATAGTAACTGTGACCTGTGACCTATCAGGTCAGAAGTGTGCTCTGGTATGGGTATGTTGCACATATCCATATCATTATGCACCTAAGAGTTCATTAATATATATGAAACAAAAAGGTCCTATAAAATCAAATGTTGTAATGGAAAGTGATTGGAATGACTGTTGTATGTAAAAATATTAAAAATTAAGAGCTAAGAAGGAAAATTACCTTATTGTAGGTATTCAACAATGATCTTAGATTCCAAGAATTTAAAAAATTAATTTCTTACTGCTATACATGTACAGCGTTTTGTTAAAAATGAATTAGAAAAATATGTATACTGTATTCACTGAAATCATTCACAATTGTCTAGTAAATTTAGTAATTAATGTTTTTCTATGTTGATCAAATTTTGATTTCAACTGGAAGTGGCTAAAAGTTACTATACAATCAAGTAAGTACATGTGCTCACAGCCTTTTGTGATATAAAAAAAAAATGGATCAGAGAATCTGTATTACATTTTGTATGAAAAATAAAATTAGGTGCTCAGATGCACTTAGTGTTTATATGACATGTGAGAGTCTCCTTTGAGCAAACATAGGTATAAAGTCTTCTCAGACGACTGTGAATATGTTGGCATTTCGGTTTGATAATGCCATGCAGTTTTATGTACCTAATAGGTCATAATTGTAAAAAGGTGATTAAAGCAAAGATATTAGCTACAATTAAAGGGATGAAGTCCACACCTAGAAAATCCCAAGTCCATACCAAAAGTGGTTAGAGGAATATTATCAGAGCTGCTATTGCATCTAAAGGAACAAAATAGATGTTGCTTCATTAAATTTTTTAGAGAATTATGACGAAACTGATAATATACTGAAAATATCTGAATTTTACCATAATAAATATTTATTTAACATAACTTGCTACTATTTTGCTTAATTTACAAAACAGTTTTCAATAAAAGTATCTTCAACTAAATGATCTGTATAAATCACTAGCAAATATACCTGGTGTATAAACTTTAAACAGGAATCAAAGATCAAGTACATAAGTATAGAAATCCATGTTATTGATTACCAGACTTCTAATCAAATAAAACACTTCGATTGAGTATTTACCACTCCAAGTCTGTTATCACACTATAAAAAGCAAAGAAATTAACAACAATTAAATTTTATAAGACTACTAAGGAGCCTAAATTAGTCATCTACTGAAATTATTTTTGAATACAATGTATGCAACATTATAGTAAAGCACATTTGACGAATTTGTGACTATTTTGGATGAGAGATGGAAGCTTTGACTAATGGTCCTATAACGATCTAAATTCAATTGCACAGTTACATTTTTTAAAACTACACAATTTCAGCTAAAAATTACCCCCAATGTCTTCTTAGTGTATTTCCTGTGACATGAGATTATTTGTAATGTGAAAGTTTAAATTCACCATTTTTTAGACATATTTCAAATGCCACATATTTGTTGCCAAAACTCATAATATAGGTTTTGAAGATTAGGCTCTAACAATAAAGAATTCTATAGTGACCGGTCAATGGAAAATTGTGAGACCCATGAACTGAGGAGAAGAATCTGTCTTGGGTGGGCAGCATATGGAAAACTGTGAGAAACTTTTAAAAGTGAGCTGCCACATGCCTGAAGAGAAAAGTATTTAATCAATGTGTCCTCCCAGTATTGACATACAGATGAGAAACACTTACTCGAACAAAAGCCTCAGCTACCAAACTATGAATCACACAGAGAAGAATGTAGCGATCCATGTTAGGAGTAATTCTGTGAGACAAAATAAAAAACGAAGAGGTCAGGAGAAGAACAAAGGTGACTTACGTCATTGAAAGGATAGCCTGACTAAAATGGAGATGGGCAGGACACATAGCTAGAATTACAGATGGGCAATTGATAAAAAGGTCATTGAAATGGAGACCAAGGGAAGACAAGAGAAGCGTAAATGAGAGTTATACAAGATAGACAGGGTTGGAAACACAAGGAAGAGGCATAATGTTCAACAGTGGACTTTTGAGGCTGGATGATAATGATGAAACAAAATAAAAGGTTTAAAGAGGAACATAATACATTCAAATATATAGATGGCTGAGGAAGTTAGTAAATTTGGTGATTTGAATCATCCTCTATAGAATTTTCTCGCCTGTAATCCTTAGATCATCCAGACTGCCTTTTTTTAGACTAGACAGATGAGCTATAAATGTCACATAGTATACTGACAATAAGACCCCCTGGTCTAGATAGCTCTTGTCAATACTCTCAATGGGTAGCAGGCTCTATTCATTTTTTTATCTCATTTGGTATCTGTTCCCCTAATTTAGGTTCTGGTCAATATGAAGACCAAGAAATTAACTGATATAGCAGGTTCTGTGTTTTGTTACAGAAAATTGACTGTATCTGGGATTTGTTCTCGTGACTGAGTAGTTCTAAAGTAAACAAAAACGGTATTATCAGTATTAAGCAACAGCCTATTTCTAATGTTTTTCTCAGAACAGCACATTTGAGTCATCAGTGAATTTTACAAGGCTTGAAGAACCACTAACCACCGCATTTTTCAGGTCGTTTGTATAGACCAAAAAGGGAAAAGGCCCTAAGATGCTCCTTTGTGGTATGTCTAACTTTAAGTTGGTCGGTTCAGAGTAAACCTAACATCCCTGTTTCTCTAAGGATATTTTTTGTGACTTATCTGTGAGAAATGATTTTATCCATTTCATTGCTGGTTCGTGTATTCCATAACAATGTAATTTTTGTAATAAAAGAACATGATCTAGGTTATTAAAAACACCTAGTGTTTTCATCTTTGCCTCTAGTTTCTGTCACAGTAGATCACCCAGCTACAAAACCATGCCGAGAACTACTAAATAAGTTGTTTGTATTAAAATAAGTTTAGTCTGGAATACATTGCTTTTACGAATATTTTTGAGAATGATGGAAGAAGTCTTATTGGTCTGTAGTTCTCCATTTTAGACACATCAACTTTTTATGTACTTAGTGACTTGAAAATACTCAAGTCTAGATGTACAGTATCTTATATTATCATTTTTAAGTACTTTTGTGATTTTTTAATTTGCTGTATTTATCTCTGAGTGGAAAACCTTGTATAAAAATTTTCTGAAATATATTCATGAAATCAATCCACTGATTATGTACCTCTAATGTCTCAAAAACAGATACCCAGTCTATATTATCTAACATAAATTAAAAAAGGCTTTATCTCTGTCCTAAATATTCGTTTTTTTTTTTGTTATATTTGATTTAATTGAAATTTTAACTAACTTTTGAGCAGTATCATCAGATATATGAGGATTGAATACGACATAATCAAATACGTCAAGATTTGTGAAAATATTATCTATACAGGATGTTTTGTTTTTGTTTTGTTACCTTGCATGCATGTGTAGTCTTTGATAGAAGGTTTAATTTCAAAGGAGCTCAAAAACGTTTTTAATGTGTCTGGCCACATTAAATAAGTACATAATATAGAAATGCAATAAAAAATAATTTCAGAAACACAGGTGTATCTAAATAAATTCGCCATTGCAGACAATTTACATATTCAATAGAGACAGTCTGCTGACATAAACATAAAAATATATTAACAAAACCCAAACTAGCAGTTCTTTTGCATATTTTTAAAATCAATAATATACGCCTTCAATTACAAAATTTATACTTGCAAATTATTGTTGTGTTAAAATAAACAAAACAACTTTATGAATAAAGAATCCTACAATGCGATATTATGTGGAATAGTTATAATTAATTTACATTGGTAACACGCAAAATTGAAAGATACGGTAAAATTAGGCGAGGCATTTAATGTTAGAACTTTTAAATGAAACGAACCAGTTGAATATACAGTGTGATATAGTTAAGATTGTTAAGATTAACTTTATTTTGTTCCGGTGTTGCCAAAACACTCTAGGAAAAATCGTCAGAATTCTATTTCAAAAATCGTGAGAAATCGTGAGATATTCCAAATTCAATAAAAGATTCTTATTAGGGGGTAATAAAAAAACTTAAAAAAACATAACTTTTTACTGGACGTGACCCAAGTCTACGTTTTTTATTAATCCAGTTTGTATTTTTGTTGGTAAACAATTTTGTTTTTTTTTTACTTGGACGAGATCCAACAACACTTTCGTCACTATTGGCCATTTTGTAAGTCGCTTATGCACTGGTTTTAATAATAAAATGTATCACAATTTATGAATTTAACACGGCTTCTAAAAGTAACCTTACAAAACTGACGGCCAAACCCAACAAAATTACGACAAGCGTAGTGCAACGCGGTAATATTGTAACTGGGACAAGAGCGGGAC